TGTGATTTTTCTCTCCTCCCCTGATTCCCACTCTAAGGCACAGGATCTCATTTTGCCCATTAGGGGTGTGTGTGTGTGCGTGCGCATGCGCGTGCATGTGTGGCTGGGAGGCAAGAGGAGGGGGAGGGACAAGAGTCACTTGCACCGACGGTCCTTCAGGTGGACAGGGGAGCACTGATCACCAACAGGGAAAGCCATATATACACTAAAACATTACCTAAAAATGGGTGGAGCTTTAAATGGAAACCAAAGCCCCCATCCTGAGGTGTCTAGTATTTGTCACACTTTACCGGACACCCCGTTGGATCCAAACTGAAGTGCACCCAAAGTCAGAGACTCGCATTACAAGCCTCTTTTAGATTCCCGGAAGTAACAAATTTCAACACTTTGCTAGATTCTAAGCTCATATGGCTTTTAGCTTTAATTCTGACCGTTCACCAGGAAGGAGAAAACAGAAGTTTATAACACACATATATTCCTCCAGAAAAAAAAGCTCCTCTCCCTGCCCCTCTCCCCCCACTGGGGACAATTCAAGGCAGGTTATCCTGTGACTGAAGCCACGTGACGTCCCGGCCCACCCCACTGTGTGACGGAAATGCCACACCTCTGCGGGGTTAGATTTAGTCCCCGAGGCTGGGTCGTCAGAAATAGGAGAGCAAGATTGTTCTCTTCAATCAAGTATTCGTATATTCTTTAGGAAACCATACTTGAAGTGACATAATTCTACCCTGGAGAGAAAGGAAAGGCATCAAAAGAGATTGGTGAAAATGCTCGAAGTCCTAAGTAGGACGCAGATGGGTTGAGCGAGACAAGGTCCTGCCTTCTAGACCAGACTGGTAGGACACAGGAAAAAGAAGCCACTTCCTTTTCAGCAGCTCTCGCTCACTAGCACCCTTTACTTATTACTTTCCTAATTCCCACTGTGCATCATTCAGACCATCAATACTTACTGACATGCACAATTGTAGGCCACACACTCCAGTGAAGTAGGAGCTCCTCTCTTCTACACTGAATCGGAAGATCAGAAAGCAGAGTGACCACCTCATGGGGTGGAATCGGGTTTTGAACTCGGGTCGCAGTGGGTGCTCTTACTTTCTCCTCCAGGGCATGGCCTCCTGCTGCAATGTTCTTCCTGGGACATGGGGCATGCCACGGTGGAGCATCAGGTTCTAGAACCACCGGGAAACGAGGAGCAGGAATCCAGCCTGGTGTGCAGCTACTGGACAAAGGCTGCTCCTTTGAAAGCAAGCCACACAGTCCAGGAGGTCTGAGAAGCAGACCCATCAAGTGGGTGCTTCCTCAGGCCCAGCGAGGGAAAACACAAGGGTGGGTTTTGCATGCTTGTGTGGAAAGGCTGTGAGCCGTGTGTTTTTCATCTAGAATACATCCACCATCATGAATGACATCAACTACAAGAGCTAACATTTGTTGTGTGCTCAGCATGTGCTTTCCTCAGATGACCTCACTCTATCCTCACCATTATCTTGGGACGGGGAAACTATTATTACAGATGAGGAAGATGAGGCCCCAGGTCACGCTTCGTTCTTTTTTAAATTGCGACAAGGCAGGAAGATCTAAAGGAGACAGGACGACACCTGCATTGCCTACTGAGGTTACCCGAGACCATCGGCCACCTTGCACTTGGGTGGGGGTTTCCTATCTCAGGACAGGAAACAGGGCAGTGCTCCTCACCAAATAGAAGAGGAGATAGAGGTCCACAGCAGGTAAGCCCAGCTCAGGATCCAGCGACCCCCAAGGGGGCCGTAATGGACACTACCAGGGACACACTTCTGCCCAGGGGCTTGGGGTGGAGCCTATAAATCCAAGGCAAACACAGGAGTCTCAGAACCTGGAGCTTCGGGGACACTGAAAATCACTATGAGCCTTTAAAACCGTTTTTTTTTTTTTTTATGTTCAAGCTTAAAAAAAATCTTAACTTGGAAACAGCATGAAGCACAGACAGACACACGTGATGATAGAGAAGTTCACTGCCGAGTCATCCCAACGACATACTCTGCATGGCTAAATGCGGGCTAACCATGCCCGCATAAACACATCATAGCTTAGAGGTGCCCCCGTGCCAGAGCTGGACTCCAGCCTCACGTTCTGCCCCATCTCCCATTTTCGTTATGATGAGCTTTATTTGAATTTCCAGACGCGTCCAGAAAAAAAACAATGATCAAGGGATTTGGGATCCTGCTGCAGACTAGGAGGTTGTTTTGGTCAGAGAGACACCTGGTGGCTCTCGAGATAGAACACACTGTCCTGCAAAAGGACACTTCTCTTGCCCCAAGCATGCCATGGGGGGCCCAGCTTCTCCTGCTGAGAGCACCGGGTGTCACCTTTGCAGGGAGGGAGGTGGGCCTGGTAGGACCAGAGCCAAACGGACTTGAACACCTTTCCCAGCCTTGTCTCCTGCACAGTCAGCTGGACTCCCCTGAGCGTGGTCCCCCCATCTGTGGAAATGAGACCTGATGCCTATCATTCTTAAGATCATTGTGAGGACAGGGTGAGCAGGAGAGACAACCCACTGGGGAACCAGCACAGAGCCATTGGCCTCGCCTCCCCGTCTTTGATTATTGTCTGTCTCCTCCTGACCTCACTGGGACCTGGGTATCTGTGGGTTCACAACAGCTGCATCCCCAGCTCACTACAGCACCGGGAGATCAGGGAGCTGGGCCCCTGGGGGCAGACAGGCTTTGCTCCCTCGGGGTCTCAGCGTGATCCACCCACAGAGGACCCCCTCCACAAAATCATGTTCATGGGGTTTCCTTTTGGGTGCTTTCCCCCACCTTATGTATTTCCCTATGTTCAAATTTTTGCTATAAGCAGTTATTAGGCTTACATTAAGTAAGACGAAATAATGGCCATTTCCTTTTCCGAGAAAGAAAATGTTAGATTTCCTTCAATTCTCGTTTTCATCTTAGCCCATGGATGATTTCACATCTGTTTATTCGTCTTTTTGAATAGAATAAAGGAGACTCAGGGATTTCGTGGCGTTATTAACATTCTCGTACCCTATCCTGTAATTTCAACCATTGTCATTGTCTTCACACAAAGGAAAACGGCAGATAAATAGACATCTCCCTCCGGAATAAACCCACACAGTGGTGTTTACGTCCCTGCCCATGTTGTGTGTGAAAACTCAGGAAGCAGAGTGGTTTCATTCCCACCAGCTCCACAGTGCACCCCAAGCCAGATCAGCGCTCCCACATACAGGGTCATCTGCAAAGGGAAACTGAGTCAGCATGATTGCTTGCTGAAAGCATTTCTTTGTATTATGCACTTCTTACGTGTTTTCTTTAAACAAAAGATGCGATTTAAGAAAAAGTTTTATGCAGAGTAGAACTTTTCTAACTCAAGAAGTATTTATATGCATTAGGGAATTTACCTGCTGAAATATTGACATGAATTTTTTTAAGACAGAAGATTGCCACAAGCTGGGGAGGGGGGAGGAAGGAGGGAAGGGACAGAGGGAAAGAGAGAGAGAATCTTAAGCAGGCTCTATGCCCAGCGTGGAGCCCGACACAGGGCTCGATCTCACGACCCTGAGATCATGACCTGAGCCGAAATCCAGAGTAGGATGCTTAACTGACTGGGCCACTCAGGCGCCTGTTGATGTGAATTTTTTTAAAGCCAAAAAAAAAAAATCCGTCTCTAATTCAAATAATCTTTTTCTAATTAACCTATTTGATGGGCTGATTTTGGTTTATGCTGGATTTTCTTAAAATAAAGGGCACTTTATTAATCTTGGTTTCTTAGCAAACTAGCAGAACAATTTGACTATTTTTTGCCATGTCAATTGGAAGGTGCCGTCTTTACCAAAAAACTAGATTATCCATTTACTTAAAAGGTTACCCCATCACAAGGCTTTACTAAGATCTTAAAGACTGAAAACTTACCAGGAATGGATAGACACTGTGATTTCTTCTGGTGCGTGTGGAATGGTTATCAGGGAGATTTGCTCATGTTTTAGAAGGATGTATTTTTTAAAGCAATGGAATCCCTTGCTAACGTGGTATCAACCCTCTCTTCCCACAAGGGGACATGCATACAGCATGAAATTCCCATACGTGGGCATCCAGAAAAACAGTCCAGCATGCCTGGCATGAAGCGCTACGTGGTGTGCTGGATGGACCGTGGGGCAAGCAAGTGGGACAAACCCCTGCCTGGTTCTCCCTGTGGTCATAGTGAGCCAGAAAGATATCACCTCCATGATTCTGCAGGGAAGTGCTGACCTCAGGATGGCCAGAGCGGGGGGAAAATCCCAAATCGGATAAAGGATAGGTTCCCCGCACGTCTACGGAACCTACAATTAGGGCAGAATCCTGAAGTCCTACAGTTTGTGTCTGTGACTTCATAGTGTCTATTTCCCTTTTTAGGAAGGTGATCACATGTCCCAGTTTGCCCGGAGAGTCTCGGTTTAGGCCAGTTGGCCTGGCATAATTATTAATAGCACCCCTTTCACTCTTAAAAGCGTCCTGGTTTGGATGATAAATTACCCTGTCACCTCACCTTTAGCTGGAGCTCACTCAGGGCCCCCTTGCCACCCCAAGATGCCCGCAGAGCCTTCCCAGCAGAGTCCTTTGGTCCAGACATTTCTACTACTCCCCCTGCCCCACTCCTTTGGGGCCAAGGGACCCAAAATATAGCCCTCCTGATTAAAATGTGTATGTCTGAGATAGCCTTTTGTTGACAATTTCTGTCAAGCAGAGAAGTGCATCGAATGGGGCAGATCGAGGCCTGTGTCTGGCCCAGGGGGACAGGTACGCAGACAGGGGCTGTCCTCCAGAGAGTTCTCCCCACACACACACTGCGGGACAGGGGCTTGCAGGGTGCTGGGGCGGGGGGCGGGGGGGCGCAGATCAGAGGGTCTGGCCACCGGCGCGGGCCTCCACAGTGAAACCCGACCCTTCTCCGCCCCCGCCCCCCTTGCAGAAGAGGCCTTGCACTGGCCTCAATTATGCTTCTCGCATGCACAGAGCCAGCCAGAGGCAGCCTTTAGATGAATAAAAATAAACTTTATTCTAATACAGCATGGAAAGTTTTTGAAACAGGAACTCTTCTTATCTGACACACAAAAAATTCTTACCCCCTGAACATCTAAAGGTTATATTCTGTACAATTATATAAATATTTTCACGGCCATATACACATGAGGTTTATGGTCCTAAAAAGCCTTTGTGAAATCAATACAATTAGATCCTTTAGACAATGATTAACCTAGTTAGAAAACAAGAAACCCTCCTGAGCACAGCCAGGAATAAAGGAAGGACAGGGCAGGAAGAGGCCCGAGGGAAAGGAAGACTGAAAACGACAGGAACACAATGGAACCCACTGCAGGATTGTAGGGGGTAAGACCCAGCAACACGAGATTATAGGCAAAAATGGAAACAAACCATCCCAGGGAAAGGTGAGCTGATCCCGAGATCAAGTTTCATTCCAAGTCGCTAACAATGAATCGATCACCTGGCAGACTTGTTCTTCTAGGAGCAGGTGGCTTTTTCCTGTTTATTCCTGCCAACTGATATTCTGGTGGCAGCCACCGCGGAGAAAAGACTTCCCTATTTTGGCATGTGTGCGGGCTGTGCGATCCTGGGCGGGATACCCAGCCTCTCTGAGCCTACCGCCCTGCCCGTCCAACGTGGACAGCAGTATCTACTTGGCTGGTTTGTTGGGAAGATTACAAGTAGCCTAGAAAAAGTGCTTACACTGTCCCTGAAACATAACTGGTACTCAATAAATAAAACTATTTTGTGTGTGATAAGGGCTCTCTCTACCTTAAAATTTATTTTCTTTCTACTCGTGTACTACCATGTGGTTCCGCCAATCACCGCCGACTTGACTGTCTAAAACCGGCCCCATTCCTGCCCCTCTGACTTCCTACAATCACAAAGAGCCACTGAAAGTGTGAAACACGCTCTCCCTTGGGGCAGCAGTGGTCACTCCTTTCCTAAGGCGCCGGCCCCGTGTGCACAAGCAGAAGCTGCTGGAGAGTGTGATTCCCTCTTCTTCGGGTACGCGTTTCCGTGCAGTTGGACACCAGCAGGAGCACCACGGACGTGAACTCTACTGAACTCCGCGAGCTGACAGTCCCATAGCAGACCATGTCACTGAAGCTCCTGGAGGTGTGCAAGGCGGTCTGGCAAGCGCACACACCTCCCCACGGGACGCGGTTTCAAGCACGACAGGCCTCCGCATGTCCCAAGGACCTGGACCCCACAGGAGGCAGGATTTCCCAGGTCTCAGGCTCTGAGACCCTCACTCCAGCGGGGCGGCAACAATCCACAAGAGCACACCATTCCGAGGAGCGAGAAGCCAGGACTCCGTGGCCAGGGGGCACACAGTCAGGAGAGAACTCTCCTCAGCCTGAAGAGAAGCAAGGTGGGCTCTCTGGCCGGCGCGAGAGGGAGCAGATGCGGGCCTGAGGGCAACAGCAGGGATCACTAGGGTCCTGCTGTCAAGAGATCTGGCAGGGGTGGGCTGGGGTGGGCTGGCCCCAGTGTTAAGAACAGAAAAGGAAGAGACGATGCCGGCAGACGTCAGTGGGGTGTATTTGAGGTAAACTGTGGTCTCAGATACGCAACGCATGTGGGTGTTGTCAAAAAGAACCCAACACAAGGCTTCTCGTGAGTTCTAAGGAAAGGCCCAGCTAAGTTTTTGGTCCTGGTGAGATTTTCCTCATTTTATAAGCAGTCATTCCAAACACTAAAGCAGAGGTCTGCGAGGAGGGCTGGCTGTCCTCTCCTCTGCTAGAGTCCAGCAAGGTTCCCGACAAGCCCAGGCCAACAGCATGGTCAGCCCGGGAAGCCTGGCCCCTGTGCTGGTGGGATCCAGGCACAGGGGGTGGGGGTGGGGTGGGGGCGGGGCCTACCCAGGAGCCACATCTGGACGTGGCACATGCTAGGAGGGATGACCAGGAATGTCCAGGGAGTCGAAGTCCCCATGGCTGGAGGGGAGCTTCGCCCATCCTGCTGCTAGTGCTGCACCTGTTTGGCCTGAGCCTCGGCCACGGGGAAAGCCGGGCCGGCTACTCACTGAGGAGACGGACCCCTGGCTCTGCACCCGCCTGGAGCTTTCAGATGCACTGCTCCTCATCTCTGTCATTCAGGAGCAGAGACCACTTGTCCCCACCATCATCAGCCGCAGCACTGTGTCGAGACAGCTTGTCGGACTTCAGGGAGGACAGAGACACCTGGCTGATGAAGCTGACCTGGTCCCAGGGCGTGGCCCTCGGGGAGTCCCGTCGCCGGTCATCCATGCCGATGTGCACGCTCACCTGCGACGCCGTCAGGGGCTTCATGCGGCCCTGGGCCTGCGCCTCATACCTCTCCAGGTCGGGCTTCTTATAGCTGCCAAGTGAGAATCCGGGAGCATTTGAGCCATTGTGGGCATAGGGGGTTTTTTTCGTTTTTTGGTTTTTTTTGAAGGATGGCGAAGAGCTCTCACCAAAGTCTTTCAATAACATATGGTATGGAAACCCCATGGATTTTAGGATTTTTAAAGGAGAGGGTATCGAGCTCCTAGGGTTCAGGTAAAGTTCGCCTGATTGAGAAACTTCTCATCCAAATGCCCGGCACAGTGTAGGCTGCCGTTAACTTTTGTTAAATGAAAGCACGAATAAACGTCTTTTCAAAAAAGGACAACTGATAATACACGAGGACCGTACATGTACGTGGCATTTACACGAACAGTGCAGATGGCTGGGAGGTGCTGAATGACCCCCTCGTGGCGCTGGTCAGGTCATGACGCACACCTGCCGCGGGGCACTGGGCACCTGCGCCCAGCACCTGCCCATCGCTAGCCCACGGGGCGGCTGGGTGGGGGGAGAAGGCCTAGCGAGCACCGCCTGTGGTGCGCGCTCCCGCCTTGAGGGACTCACCACTTGAGCTGCAGCGATGAGAGAACCACAGACACGGAGGAGGCCGCCATGGCCGCCGAGCCCATCCACGGCTGTAGCACGATGCCGATGGGCATGAAGACCCCTGGCCAAGGGAAGGACGACACTCACGCCACAGCTCAGAGGAGACGGTCCTCACCTTGGGCTGCCCCCTGTGAAGTTCCCCATCTTGGGGCGGCTCAGAAACCCCCACTGCTGTGTCATGACCATGTGCCCGCACGCCTCTGAAGTAGGCGGTCTCGGAGCTGGGCAGGGGGGTGCTGTCTAGGGGACTGGGGCCTCCCACCCACCCTGGTCTACCTGGGATAGTCCACAGGGGGCATCGTGGGCTTCAGGGGGAGCTGCAAGGGAACATGGAATCCCAGGGACCATCTTTGCAGCTTTCGTTTACCTTCAGAGACTTAGAAAGTGGAGAACATGATAAAACCAACTCTTTCTAAAATGTTTCTGCCCTGCCAGCCGGCCAGGCAGCCAGGCAGCCAGCGAAGTGGGCTACTCATTAAGTTGGGCAGAAACCCGGCAGGCAGAGAGAAGCCTTTCTGGCCGGCAGCTGGAGTCAAAGGTAACCTAGCGGGGGAGAGCCACCCTACCTGCGGCAATGGGTATTCCGATCAGGTTATAAATCAACGCCAGCACCAGATTGAGGCGTATTCTCCAGACGGTCCTCTTGGACAGGTGAATGCTAGCCACCACATCGAGCAAATCGTTCTGTAGGAGGAACACAGGGTCAGTCAGGAGCTCTGTCCCGCGGCCCTCACTGCTTCCACAACCGGGACAACAGGGCACGAGAAGATACAGCTGAGCTTACTCTGATGAGGACAACGTCAGCAGCCTCAATGGCGACGTCCGTGCCTGTCCCGATGGCAATGCCCACATCAGCCCGGGCCAAGGCTGGTGAGTCATTGACCCCATCTCCCACCATGGCGACCTTCTTCCCTTCATTCTGGAGCTCCTGGACCTTGGCCACCTTGTGAGAAGGCAGGACCTCTGCAAAGACCTTGTTGATGCCAACCTAAAGGGAAAGGAAAACAGTCATCGAAAGAGAAATACATGCCAACCCCTGGTGTTGGCAAAGGATAGTGACCAGCAGCAGAAACCTGTGTGGCATCCTGCCCCCACTCCCTCCGGCCTCCAAGCCCAGTCAGCAATGTCAGTCACCAAACCCTAGATCCCAGGGCATGCCATCCCCGTGCCCCGCTTCCATGGTGGCTTTAGTTCTCCCTGCCCACCTCCCGGCCTCCCAATCCTCCTCCCTATCCCCACCGTGGTCTTTCCAGAACAGTGGTCAGCTGGTCATGTTACTCTCCTGCTTAAAGACCCAGTGGAACCCACTTCCCCTGGGATGACATCCACACTTCTCAGTCTGCCTCCCAAGCCTCTCTGGACCTGGTCTCTGCCCGCCTCCAGCCCTCGCTGCATTCTGCCCCTTTCAGCTTCCTGCAGCTCTCCAGCCCTTGCCGTGGTGCTCATGCTGCCTGCTCTGTCCTGGAAATGTCAGCTTCCCTTTCTCCAACCTTCTCCCTCTTCTTCAAACGACCACTCCTGACTCAAGCATTTCCTCCCCTGGGAAGGTGGCTCCAGCCCCTGCCACGCTGGGGTCAGTTGGCGGCTCCCACATGTCCTGTGCACTTTTCTGTTGCAGAAGCGAGCACTCAATTCCAGCCTGGCCACTGGTCACCCTTCCCCCGAGGACAGCGAGCTGCCGGAGCGCAGGCGCCCTCTTCACTCCTCTCTGGAGCCTGTCACATGGATGGTGCTTAGTAAGTGCTCACTGAATGGATAAGTAAGTTTTAACCAGGAAAGGAGGCAGTACTCAACAAGTCCATCATTAGCAAGGAAGGCCGCGGAGAGGTACTGCTGCTTCCCTTGTAAGAAGCAGTTCACTTGCAAAAGCCTATGGTGTACACACGTTTGGGGAGGGTGTGCAATTTCAGGAATTTGCACGGGAGGTCTCGCCGTGTGCGGGGTCGGGCAGGCATACAGCACGCACTTGGAAGTGAGGGACTCAGCTGTCTGTCCCCCGCACAGGGCGTGAGAAGAGCTGAGCGGACAAATCGTTCCCTTAACACAAAGCCTCGGAAGTCGTGTGTTTCAGCTCTCGAGCCATGATCTTTGTTTTTGCCCCATTGGAAAGACAGGCAGAGAGAATGCTGGAATTGCGTTTTCCAGGGCAGCAGCCTGTCCTGAGTTCAGACATCCAGGCCCCAGGGACGTGAGCTTGGCGACAGCAGCACAGTGGTCTCCCGTGGGACGCCGCACAGCTCGGGACAGAGCAGAGCGGGCGGAGCGAGACGCACGCGGTGGGGGGAGGCCAGAAGCAACGTGGAGCGCTCGGAGTACCAGCGCTTCCTGTGTTTCTTCAAACTGCCCCGGGGAGCTTAAAAGCAATGTCAAAGGGGGACGATCCCCCGCCCCCGGTCCCTGGCACACACCTGGGTGGCGATGGCTCTGGCTGTCCTCCGGTTGTCCCCTGTGATCAGAACCACGTCCACACCCATGCTCTTCAGCGTGTGCACGGCCAGGGCTGCCTCCTGCTTGACTGCATCCGCGATGGCGATCATGGCGCAGAGCACGCCTGCGGGAGACACCCTCGGTGAGGCCACAAGGGCGAGCACCGGGCAGCCCGGGGTCGAGGGGGCTGTGCTACCGGAAACAGTTTCCAGAGTGGAACGTCACATGTGAACAACAAAACTCCAAGTTACAGAACAGAACCCGGTTTTGATTTTGTTTTTTTAAAAATGACCTACATTTACAGATGCATACAAAAGTCTGGAAGGAATATGAAACGTTAACGGTGGCTCTCTAAGGGGTAGGACAAGGAGTCATTGCATTTTCTTCTTTATAGCTCTCAGGATCTCCCCAATTTCCTGCAAGGAACAACTATTACTTTGCAGAGTGCCTGGCTCATAATAATAATACATGTTAGCTATTAAGATATGAGAAATAGAATGAATACAATAAATGTTACTGAAAAGTGACGGGTGTCCAAACAGAAGATCAGTCCTTCCTTTTTCTCTCCCTACAGAAAGCATTTGTTTGGGGGGCGTCTGTTGGAGCGCATCTTCACAGAGTGAGGCAGGAAGGCATTCGAGGACTGAGGTGTGGCAGAGCAGATGCGGGGGAGTGGTGTGACAGAGGGCACGGCTCCTCCAGCAGAGCTGGTTCTGATCTGAGGAGCCGAGGGGACTGCAGGTGTATAAGGACTTCGGAAAGGACACGGCGGAGGGAGCAGGAAAAAAAGAGTGGGAGACATATTTAACATATTTAGTTGAAGCATTAAAAATAATAATTTATGTTGCTTATCTGCATACAGTTTTACTTCTAATAAGCAGAAACTACCATTAACAAGGTAAGATTCCAATCATCTGAGGTGTAAAGGCCCAGACACACTATCTTGGGGAGCTCTGGGGAGGGGCAGCGATCTCATTACTTAGGTCCCTATGTGTGAAACGCCTGGACAGCGAGCTACTGCTGGGTGTGCAGTGATGGAGGAGGAGGAGGGTGATGGAACCGCTGGCTTGGACAGAAGCAGACAGTGATGGCGAAGGCAGCCGAGCTGCCTCACTCTCGGGGGGAAGTATGGACAGAGCGAGAGAGGACCTCCGGACCGAGAATGAAGTGAGAAACTGGCAAGGCAACCTTTTAGAACACAGAATTTAAATTAACAGAGAGGAAGATTTATTGGGGGGAAAAAAAAGGAGAAAGTCTATTTTTGCCAGATAGCCCCAAGAAACTCCACTGCTGAGAGCAGAAGAAGGCGAGGGTGGGGTGGTACCGTCAATGGCCACCAGGATGGCCGTCTGGCCTTTCATCTCATGATCTGTCATCGCGTCACTGATGTCGCTGGAAATGGTTAGGCCGTTGCGCCTCATCCATTCGCGGTTCCCAATCAGCACAGAGAAGGTCTGGGGGGTCGCATCTGTTCAAAAGAGTCTGTGGTTATTCCCAAACAGTCCAATTTTACTATGAGAAAGGACTAAAAACCATGGAATCCTTTTAACAGCAGAAAGTCCCGTGTAACTGTTTTGAAACACAGTAGCTAGCAAGCACTTCTCATAACACCACCCTTAAAGGACCAGGGAAACAGTAATTAACGTGTGGAACGTCGGGGGGGTGATCCAAATGGGGTGTGAAAAGGTACGTGCAGCGTGTGCAAAAATGGTATAAACATTGGGTAGTGTCCTTATTTGCCTTTAAGAGGTATCTGCTGGTTCCTTTTCTGCAGAGATTAGAAGCAACAAGTGTAGCTGGGTATAGATGACCCAAGGTGCGTCAGCAAATAACAAGTCTACTTCTGTGAAATGTTTAAAAGCTGTACCTCCTAAAAGGCCAGGTGAGCCTTTCTCCTGTCACCTTCTATGCGTGCTGCTAACCTAGGGGTCACCACACAGGCCAGTCCTGGTAGCTAAATGGAAGCGTCATGCTGGGGTCATGCTGGGTTCTGAATTACTAGAAGGTGTCAGATGGCTTCTAATGATACCCCAGTGCACTTAAGAGAAAACACCAGACACGGGCATTTTGGGTGCAGAGGGTGTCCACATTCTCGTGCTGATGGCTAGCAAGCTATCTCCAGAATCAGAAAAGCCGTATTCACTCCAAGCAGTACCCCTTGTTGGCTTGGGCAGACCACTTCCATCTGGCTTCCCTGCTGCTGCCAGCTCTGTAAATACGACACATGCCATCGGGGTTCTACAGCACGGGAGGGAGACTGGAGGAGCAAAAGTAGAATTCCCGTCTGTCCCCTTTATAGCTTAGAGAAGCAGCACTGACTTGGGTAAGAAAGAGGAGACTCAAGATTATGGGTCACAGAAGCAATACTCTAGGGGCGCCTGGGTGGCTCAGTCGTTAAATATCTGCCTTTGGCTCAGGTCATGATCCCGGGGTCCTGGGACTGAGCCCCACATCGGGCTCCCTGCTCCGCGGGAAGCCTGCTTCTCCCTCTCCCACTCCCCCTTGCTTGTGTTCCCTCTCTGTCTCTCTCTCTGTCAAATAAATAAATAAAAACCGAAAAAAAAAAAAAAGGAGCAATACTCTGAATTGCAGTAACATACGCTACTTCTGTCGGCCATTAGCGTCAAGATTCAGAAGTATCAGAGAACCCAACAATGGACAAACGGCAGGCTTTCCTGGGGGAGGCGGGCACGCGGCACCCCGGCCAGGAGCCGCCCTTGTCCACAGCCGGGGCCCCACAGCCGTGTGCCGGCCTGGAGCTCTCTGGTTAGGCACGCTGCCGGCTGACCCAGCCGGGCCCAAGCCGTGGCAGGCCGGGCAGAGAGACAAGGGCCAGGGATACCTATCGCCTCGGGAACGCTGCCAGTCCTGCTCAGGGGAGCAGCCTGTTTGCTCTGCTGGCGCTCGCCGTGGGCCAGGATGCCCTCCACGCTACTGACTTTGCAGCCGATGCCACAGCCCGGCACTGCCTGGAAGTCCGTGCAGTATCCCAAGGTCTCGGTTCCCAATTCCTGTGAAGCCAGGGAGAGAGGGGAGGTGAGCAGGAAGCAGGAGAGAGCGGCACCGACCACGAAAGCAGGACTGCGCCGGTGAGAAGATCGACTAGTAACTCGGCAACTCCTTCTCTCACCCGACACAGACATTACAATTATTAAATGGATGCCTCATGACACGGGACGAGGGGCAGACTAGGCAGGAGAAGAGCAGTTCACGGCAAATGCCTCAAATTAAAGGAGGTGGGGGGAGCAAAAAAGAGAAGAGATATTATTTTTACGTTGCAAATAATCTCATGAGAATGATGGAACAGGCAAGAGGTAACAAAGCTGCTTGGAGGCTTTCAGGAGGTCACTGCCCATTTACAGGCCCTGTGGGGGGGGCGAGTGCAAAAGGAGGAGAAAGACGTGAGGCGCTGCTTCCTGTGGGGTTAACTACACAGCAAAGGAGGGATGACAGAGCACGTTCGTCCTGAAACATCACGAGAGAGGGGGAAATGGTGGTCTGAATGACCCTACACAAGACACCAGCGCAAGTTTCTGGAAGACTCCCTGTCCAGGTAGAGCTGTCAGCTTTGCCCCAAGGCATTAATTGTATTTGCCCAGACCGTTTAAAATTTTTCAAGGCAATATTCTGGCACATCCTGCTGCTTCTATATTTAGACTGAAAAGAGAAAACGCAACAGGACCTTTCGTCTGGAGAGGTCAAAGGATGAATGCTTTCCCATTAACTGCCAAGAACCCACTGGGCATTCTGCTCACCTCTGCTGGCGCCTCTCCATTTCACTGCCCCCGGTTGAGGGGCTTTCTCCTCGTCTCGCCCAATCCCCCATTCCGTTCTGTATCCCCTTTGCACTGAGCACTCATTAAGGACTGAACTAATACACCATCTGTCCTCCCCACCGGACCATCAGCTCCCAGAGGGTGGAGTTCACATCCTAGCAGTTTTTGTTGTTTCAAGCACAGATGCTCAGTACATGCTCTCTAAGTGACTGCTAACACTTAACTGCCTTTGTGATGATCTGGAAATGGGATGGGGGACCCATCACTGACAGCTACATCTCCACCTGCTCCACAGGGGCCTGCTGAGGGGTTCCCAGGGCCCATAAGCCCAGGCCTCCTGCAAGGCAGCTGACCCAGGTTACAGAGGCAGCAGAAGAAGCATGTGAGGAGGAAGGTGCTTGGAGGCTTTCAGCCAGTGACAGCAGAGAAGGCGGCCAGCCGGAGCACGGAGGATGGGGGGGTGACGGGGGGAGGGCTGATGGGGGGGCGAGGAGGCGAGGGATGAGCAGTGCCCAGGTCCGCATACCTCTTTACAGTACTTGGTGACTGCCATGCCCAAAGGGTGCTCGCTGCTGGCCTCCGCAGTCCCCACCACAGCAAGAACCTTCCTGAGGGGCATCATGGCCACATCCACAAGCAGGAGGACCCTCATGACTTTGGGGACCCCATGGGTAATGGTGCCAGTTTTGTCAAACATCACGGTCTTTATCTGCCAAAACAACCACATCTTGGTGACCACAAATACAGATGGAAGGGACTTTAAGAGCCTGCACAATCTTGAGGCAGAACTCCACTCAACCTAGCTCCAGCAGGTAACGACACCCCTTCATACAACCCTGTTAACACAATACCCTACAATCAATCCCGGGGTTCAACCACTCCCACAACAAAGACACGGTTTCCCTTTCTGTGCAGCCTAAACAGTCTGCACTGTGACTTAACCTTCCTCAGGTTGAGCCAGAAACTGTCACCCCAATTTCACAGGAGATGGCACGGCACCATCTTCTGGAAAGTGACACCACGCAGATTTCCCATGTCAGGACCCTGGCCGTCTGCCCATCTCCCTGCGCAGTTTCTCTGGCCTGCCTGAGTGCACACGCTTACTGAGAATAAGGAGCTCGCACTCCAGGTTCAAGAGAGGAAGGGAGGGGCACCTGGGTGGCTCAGTCGTTAAGCGTCTGCCTTCGGCTCAGGTCATGATCCCAGGGTCCTGGGATCGAGCCCCGCGTCAGGCTCCCTGCTCAGCGGGAAGCCTGCTTCTCCTTCTCCCTCTGCTGCTGCTCATGCTCTCTCTCTCAAATAAATAAATAATCTTAAAAAACAAACGAAAAAGAGAGAGAGAGAGAGAGAGAGAAAGGGAGCGTTCCCTGGCTGTAATAACAAGCAACCACCAGAGCCAATTTCCGCACCCGGCCCACTTGGTCAATGGCAGCTTGCACCAGTCCCCATGGGTCTGGGTTTTGCCAGTCGGTACCTGTGTCCATGGCCAGAGCCCACCCGTCCTTGATGCCCATAGCTCCCCAAACCCTACAGGAGGCCAGCTGCTTGCTGTGGCCAGACTGTCCCCCTCACTTAGCCAACAACTGATGCTGAGCGGCGGTCTCTGCACTACAACTGGTCCTCCTCCAACAATCCTTGCACCAAGCAGCCACAGTGATCTTCCCAACAGTAACCGAGTCCCACCCCGCAGGCGCTTCAGACCCATCCTCGGCTCCCTGCTGTTCTCTGGGTCTTATACGTTCTGAAGCCTTGATGCAAACTCCAAGGCCCTTCCAGGCCCTGCTCTCCCTGCCCTCCTCCCTCAACAGCCTCATCTCCTGTCAGTTTCTCTCTCCCTCTCAATGATTTTCTTTTGGTTCCTCGTCATTTATTCCGTAAATAACTGTTGAGGGCTTCCAGCGTGCCTGGCACCGGGCAAGATGCTGGGAACACAATGGTGAGGAAAAGTTCACAGTCCCTGATCTTATGGGGTCGATGATGTGGCCGTCCAGCCTCCTTTCCAATCTCCACTGCCTGGCTAACTCCAGCTCGACTGGGCGGTCCCAGATGAACCTCTCTATTTCCTTCTATGCCTGTGTACCCCCTCACCCCTGGGCCAACACCTGCGAATGCAGGTCAGGTCCCCACTACACTGTCCTCCCAGGCTTGCGCTCGCACAGATGTGTGGTTTACTGACCCCACATCTGCCTCTCCCCCTAACGTGGAAGCTCCTTGACAGCCGAGGTCCCTGGCCATCGCCGGGGCCTACCACAGGACCCACACACGGTAAGGGCCCAACAAATACCAAGTAAATAAATGGAGAGATAAATAAATGGAAGGATGGGCATGCTGGGCCCAAGATTCTCCACAAACACTGCTGCTGACTATTCCACTCCCAGAAGTCAGGGTCCCTCTGCTAATCACATGGATGTGCTCCGGTACTTTCCTCTGAGCCCGACTACCTGGGTGTGAGTCCCGGCTCTGCCACGGATTAGCTGCAGGCCTTTGGGAGAGTTCCCTCGCCTCCTCCTGCTGAGCTTCCTCATCTGAGAAATGGGAATAATAAGCACCTATCTCAAAGAGTTGTTAATGAGATTAAATCAATTCATATTTAATCCTGCAACTGTTAGCTGTTGCTGCTATTATCATTCCCAGTCCCTGTTGGCTTCCTGTTATACTTAATTAACAGGGCTGCCCTCAAACCTCTTCCAGGTTTTTCTCTTAATACAGAGTTTAAACAGATACTACTTGCCCTCCGACTCTCTTCAGTTTCAAAAAAAAAAAAAAAAATCACATAGTAACAGCTACAGAGTCATTCCAGCCAAGACCTCAAGGGATAGCCAGAGGGGCAAGGGCCAACCTTGTGGGCCATCTCCAGAGGCTTGCCTCCTTTGATGAGGATGCCATTCTGGGCGGCCACCCCGGTGCCCACCATGACTGCCGTGGGCGTGGCCAAGCCCAGGGAGCAGGGGCAGGCAATGCACAGCACCGTGATGGATGTCTGGAACGCAAACCGGATGATCACCTCTGCCTGGGAGATATGCTTGTTGGGGGTCTGAAAAGAGGAAAGAGATAAAGGCAGGCTGAGGGTTAAAGGAGGAATCTCACTGACTTCTAATCACATAAGAACATTTTAGCGTGGGCAGCAGGACCTGAGATGTGTGATGAGCTGGGGTTTGGGAAACACGTGCAGTCCTTCTACACGTCTGCTTCAGTGCTGTGTTATCACCTGGCTCACTTTACTGGTCCCCATCCCAGTTCCCCAACTTGACGCTCTAGGCTTTCCTCTGAGAGAGCCATGAGGAGAGGAGAGAGTCATATAAAACTCCCTACCAGAGGAAGGTGCCCAGACTCCAGAATTGGCCCGTGTACGGCCATGCCCCGGCCCTGACACTAATTTAACATCTCTGCGTGTCAGCTCCCTCATTCAGAATGGAGATGGTAATACCAATAACGCCCAACTGTTGTTGGAAGGATTATATGAGCTAATACACATATAAATACATATAAACACATAAATATACATTGTACAATACCTGGCACGGGAGAAGCGTCTAAGAAATTGTAACTGTCACATTATCAATATTACATATTAACAATACTATACATTATTACTGTTATCATTATTATGAAAACTTTAAAAAATGATAGGTCTCCAAGGAATCCACCCTAAGGTGATAATCATACCAGTGGCCAAAGATACAAAGATATTTATCACAGCGTTTTTTTCAAAAAACTAGAGATACCCGATAGGGAACTGGGGAATTAAATTGTGAAGATGAGGTGCATAATGAAATATTATTCGATTGTTGAATCGATGATGCATACCTATACTTGTTGACATGGAAAGATACCAGCAACATTGTTAAATAAAAAAAGCAAGTACAAAACGGCATGTGTTGTGACTGAATTAGTGCAAAATTATCTGCCCATGTCTCTATATAGCCTTTCAACGATACTGGAAAGAGGTTTACCAAAGTGCAAAAAATCGTTACTCCTAGGGATGGGATTTGGAGCCATCTTTATTTTCTTCTATTTTTTCCACTATCATTTTCTTTGCAAACCCAAGACAAACAAAATATGGGTCTCCTTTCCAGTTACCTGCCGACACATATGGGTACTACTATTTGCATTCTGACATCTTGATTTACCTTGGTTTATTTTGCAAAATGGCAGGTATCTCTGGAGCACAATCAGGAGACACTAAATTCACTTTAATCACAGTATGTTTTCTAAATCAAGGATACAGACCACGATCTCTTTAGCTTCCATCTACACTTTATTCCTTGATTTTGAAAGGCAGAATTCTAAAATAAGGTGTATTATTAAAGAGTCATTTCACTTCGATTAGAAACAGTTGGATTTAGATAGAGGGACACTATTTAAGACATCATGCAATTTTTAGAAATAAAGATGATGTGATTTAAAAAAAAAAACAACAGTAATTCTCATCAAAATAGCACTGGGCATTCTGATGGGATTGGTGGACTTCTAGAGGGTGACATGAACCTCTCCCTACAAATGACTTTTAGACAGCAGGGTGATAATATCTTAAAGGAACATGCAGTACCTCATTTGCCAGCATCCTCCCTGATATTGCAGATAAAAACAAAAGAAGCCAAAGTAAGATGGAAAGGCAGGGAACAGCAGAAAGGCCCATATTCCAACTTGTTTAGGAACTTTTCCCACAGCCACATGCCAATGAGCTGCTCTCCCGCAAAAGCAGAAATTTGAGACAGTCAGGTGCCGTAATAGCCACTGGCAAATTCTAGGAATATAGTCATAGGTCATTCTTCAAAGCACCGAGGTCTCCTTAGATGTCAGAAAGAGCTTAACTTGGACATTTTTCATTTTAGGATAGGAAATTTGAGAGAGAAAATGACATCTTAGTAAATGACATGCACCCCAAGAATTTCAGATATGCCTTTAATTATGAGTAGACCTTTTTTTTAAAGAAAAAAATTATCCATTCCATATTTACAATTTCTTATTCTATGGCTCTAAGGTAAAATAGGCATTCAATTTGGCTAAGTAGGAGATACTTTAAACCATAGATAAAACACTGTTCCCCTCATTGGGCAGTTATCAAATATGACTCCAACTGAGCCATTCCCTGCTGATGTACATCAAGGTTTCTCAAGCTCAGCACTACTGACATTTGGGGCCAGATGATTCTTGGTTGTGGGGGGCTGTCCTTTGCATGGCAGGATGTCTGGCATCCTCAGTCTCTACCCACTAGATGTCAGTAGCATTCCCTCCCCAGTCATGACAACCAAATGTCTCCAGACATTGCCAAATGTCTCTGGGGACAACAAAATCACTCCCAATTGAGAATTACAGTTCTTACTTCTCGAGCAGAAAAGGTTATTTTTGTACTTTCCACTTTTTTTGGAAGTTTGACAAAACAGTATTTCCTAAGATAGTATTCGTCATCTACCTTTTAACTCAAGAAAGCATATTCCATTGTCTCATGTATGTTTAATAAGTATTTATTATTAAAAAGCTATTAGCATTGCCTGGGAAGCCGCAAGGTTGAAGATAGTATTGTCAGATATAGAGAGCAAAAAACATATTTTTCTTAAAATCTGTTAAAATGATATTATCATGCCCTCAAAATTGTGAAGTGACCTATGATATGGGCCTCATAACTCCAGAAATGGCCAAGGTCGCATTATGTGAATGTTTTAGGCATGACAACTGAGAGCTAACTGGTGTCTGGGAAATTATTTAACTAGAAGGCAAAGGGCATCTTTAAAAAAACTTGCAGAAATAGAGTGACTGATGGTCCTATCTTGGCTAAGATTTTGCTGCCAATAAGTGAAGCAAGCAAATAAATGTAATGGGTAATTAAAGCCCAATGAATCTAAGATATGAGAGAACAGGATTAATGGCAAGAGATTATTTAAAACACAGCAACCATACTGCCCAAAGCATTCAACTTACAGGAAAGTATTTCTGAACAACACCAAAATCGATAAAACCGATTATAATCCATACCACCAACGTCAACGTTGAAATGATGATGATAAATGGGACAAAATATCCACTAAACCGGTCAGCCAGTTGCTGAATGGGTGCCTATGAAAATAAAACACGAAGACCATGAGAAATTACAATCCACAAAGAAATACGTCCCCACAGGCACAGGCAAGCACTGGGGTTCTGAGCCCCCTCGATTGGTAAGTTAACGCTTACTAATCACTCTCTACTCAGCAAAATCTGCCTGAGTCTATGAAACTCTTAGAATAACTTTTAAAATGAGGAAGTTGACGTTATGTTATTTTTTAACTTTCTTCATTACCTTTGACATCTGAGCCTCTTCCACCAATTTCACAATCTGAGCCAACGTGGTGTCATTGCCCACATGGGTGGCATTAACGAGCACAGAGCCGTGTGCATTTATAGACCCAGCAATCACTGTGCTTCCAGGTTTCTTCGTGACGGGCATGGCTTCTCCTAGAGGTGGAGAAAAGAGATCAACCGTAACGCACTCAGCCCCCATTCAGTATTCACGTGACCCGGCAACTCCTGTGATACCCACCCACAGGGAACAGGAGACAAGCCACCTAACCTGTGATGAGGGACTCGTCGGCCATGGTGTTGCCTTCCAGGACTTTCCCATCCACTGGGAACTTTCCCCCGGGGACAACTTTGATGATATCACCCCGCTGCACCAGCTCCATGGGTACCTGCTCCTCTCTGCCAACAAAACCACTCAGGTTACGCACACAGCAATCAACCAGAGCTCAACCCTCTTGGTCTGCCGCTCAGCTCAGGTTCTCGACAAAGTGTTGGACATGCTCTTTGCTTTACACCAAGCAGCAGTATTCATTTTCAGATAAAGCCACTATTTATTGTGCAAATACTAAGGGGCAGGCACTTTACTAGGCACGGGGAAGAGAGCTGGGAACAGGACAGCCAAGTCCCTATCCTCAGGAAGACCCATTCTGCAGAAGAAACAGATAACAAGACAGTTCCAGGTATTAAATAAGTGTTAGGATGCAAACAATGTGACTGGAAGGCTTTTTTTGGGGGGGGAGGAAGGGTTCACTTGGAAGATGAACTGAGACCTGGATGATAAGAGGGGCCAACATACAGGCGAAAGAAAGTTCAAGGGGAAAAACCCAACTAATGCAAAGGCCCCAAGGCAGGCAGGAAGGGTGCCCTGGAGAACCAGGAAGAGAAGCAGGCAGTCCAGATCCTGTGGGGACTTGTGGAGCAGAGTACGGGCTTTGGATGTAAGGTTTTTACTGGGAAGTGACATAATTTGATTCACATTGTCAAGTCCTCTCTCTGGCTGCTGTATGCGAGCGGGCGGCAGGGACAATACTAGAAGCCGGGGGAAGAGGTGCGCTGTTGCAACAGCCAAGCAAAGGACAGCAACGGCTAAATGCGGAAAGAAGAGAATCAAAGAGGGAGCTCTAAGCTCTGTTACTGCGATGGAGGCAAGTGTACCGAAGCAGCTGAGGGAGGGCGAGAGAAGGGAAGGAAAAGAAACGAAATAAAGACCTTCGTGTTGACCCCCTTTGGGTCTGGGATGCCTATCTGACTTCCAGGGAAAATGTCAAGCAGGGAGTGGAAAACGGAACTTGAGCTGAGAGGAGGGGGCAGAGCTAGAGGTGCAAATCCAGGAGCTGTCTCAACACAGATGGCATTTCCAGCCAAGAAATGGTGCGAGCGCACCTGGGTGTGCGAGTGGAAAAGAGAAGGAGTTCTAGAACTAAGCCCTGGGGCCGGACAACATCTGGAGGCTGAGCAGGTGGAAGGGCCCGGGTAGACGGGGCGGAGGCCCGCGAGGTGGGGGAGCAGGTGTCCCTGTCCAGCCGCCAGATAAGCAGACTTCATCACACTCTGCACTTGGGCTTGGTACCTCCGTAAAGGTCAGTCACACGTGCATAAGGAACAAAACCAACAGTAAGTTTTCAATGGAGAGACTGGGGGGCAGGGGGAATGCTGGTGAGGGGCCGAAAGGAAGATAAACCTGGCAGTTGTTGGGCTGGGGTACATGGAAGAGGTCTGCTGTGGGCGGGGGCAGTTTCAGAAGCTGCTGGAGGCGGCAGCCCAGCGGGAGGGGTGGACGAGAGCACGGGAAGCCAGCAGACAGCAGCTCGGGCCGCTTTCGCGGGAAGATGTGCTGGGACAGGGAAAAGAGCAGGAGAGGGAGAGGGTCAGACGGGACCGTGCGAGCCGTAGGTGTGTGAGGGCTGGATGCTGGGGGGGTCGGCCCGAGACAGACAGACATGCGGTGGGGGAGACGAGGGTAGGGCAGGAGTGGGAGACAGCCAGCCGGAGGCCGCCAGGGAACCGCCACAGGGGCCAAATACACGTCACTGTATACAGCCGACCCTTGAACGGCCCGGTTTGCACCACGCAGGTACACGCGGGGTTTTAATAAATATAGTACAGAAATAGAAATACGTTTTCTCTTCCTTCTGATTTTCTTGACATTTTCTTTTCTCTCGCTTACTTTATTCTAAGAACACAGTATATAATAACATACGAAATAGGTACTAACCGACTGTTTTATGTTGTCAGTAAGGCTTCTAGTCAACAGTAGCTTACTGGTAAAGTTTTTGGGAGTCAGAGGTTATATGTGGATTTTCGACTCTGCGCTGGGTCAGCGCCCCTAAGCCCCACTGTTGTTCAAGGGTCACCCGTTTATAACAGTGCCTCATGACCAAACGGTGATAAAAGCAGATACGCAGGCTCTGAGGTTTGCGTTACACACTCCCTTCATTCTACAAGGACTACATTCAAACTACCACAGAGAAAAATGTACAATAAGCTGCCTTATCAACATGTGAAGGTAACACAGACCTTTACTGAGTGTACGTACTGTGCTAGATTTGTACAGGTTTTTTTCTCACTGAATCCTCCCAAAAGTATATGAGGTAAGTGATACTCACTCCCAGTAGAGCAAAAACCTGAAGATTTCTTAGAAAGGCACGAAACTGAATCTACATGCCCATTTCTTTAAACATTGCTATGTATAAATGTATAAAACTTGGGAACCAAAATGTGCAGAGATGATAAATATTTACATCAAAATTTTCTTTTTTAAAAAATTGTGCAGGAGCATCCTCTGCAAAACAAGGATTCAAGAGTTGCCCCCTCCCTGCAAGGCTCTGAGCACACACCACTCAGGCTGGTGTGCATAAATACAGGCTCAGTGCCACGGGAGACACTGTGTGCACCAGATGCCAGGGACACGGTGGGGAGCAAAGCAGACATGGCCCTGGCCTTGGGAGCTCGGAGTCCTCGGTAGGGCACTGGTGAATCACAGGGCAGTGGGGCCATCTGGGTCAAATCCTGGTGCAAAGCCACAGTGTCCTCTTTTCTACAATGGTGATTTTGTTCCAGGATTAACTGAGATGATGCGTGTTCAGTACTTGGTACCGTGCCTGGCATGCGGTGAGCGCCCCGGGAATTTCACTTAATGGACGTTTTCCCTAGTGACAGGCCTCTGTGTAGCAGGCACTGTGCTGGACTTGGGTACGAACAGGACAAAGCAGAGCCTTCCTCTCAGGATGCTGACACCCCAGAAGCCACAAGCAGACTCGTGAATGTAAGTTCAGTAATGGCCATAATACAAGAAACGGGGTGGGAAAAGGAGGGGCGCCCTGAAGTCTCAAGTGCTGGGAGTAGATATGAGGAAACCCGTTTGCGGGCTGGGCAGGGTGGCAAACCGGGAGGAGAGGAGGACTCTCCATAATCTGAGAATGTTCTTTGCTGCTTCTTCAAGTCTCCCAGTGATGGAGATGCCCAGGCCCTTCCCCTCTGAGGCCTGTCTACGCGACCTGGAGGAGTTTCCCATCACACCAGGTCCTCACTTGGTAAGAGAGGCCTGTCAGGAGAAGGAGCACCTGCTCACTTGAGAAGGGGCATCGGGAGCTAATGGCAGAACCTTCTCCCCCGGAATAACCTAACTACTAAGCTTTAGAAGGTTCGCTTCTATGGGGATTCTTCAAGAAATTGGCACCCATGTCCAACTGGGTGCCATTCTAAGAAACCTTTAGTAATGTCAATCTCTGCTTAATCTGAAGTTGAATTTCCCCTTTGATTTGAATTCACCATATCATTCTAAGCCCGAACAGCTTAATTTAAGGTGAGCAGCACTTGATGGGGGTCAAGGTGGCTCCTTCCAGTGAATTCCCAGCATTTCTTCTTCAGAAGCTTGTGTCTCCCAAAACGCCACGGTGTGGGAATACACTTAATTGAGAGACAGTGTTTTCCCTAGCCTTTCTTCTGCTTCCGGAGCTTCTGCCAGTAGTCTGTCTACCATACCCGTCTCCTCTCTCCTCTCCCTCCTCATCTAACACAAAGTAAAAAGACAAAAACTTAGACTAGAACAGCCACTACCTAGATGAAGTCTGTAACTCTGCTTTCCCCACTACCACAGGAGACTTCAATGCAGGAGACTGGGGACCAGGTCGTGTAGGCCCTTGAATGTCACCCCAACCAACATGGGGTGATTTCTTGAACATTTCATGGTCCTTTCATTCATTCAACTAGTAATCTGAGCACCTGCCACGTGGGTGTCCCAGGGCAAGTGGCGCAAGAGCCAACCAGCCCTGGGGACAGGAAAGGCTTCCGGAGGACATGCCCCCCAAGCTGAGCCCTGAAGGACAAGCAGCCAGGCAGAGGGGAAGAAGAAAGGTGTGTGGGGAGACCCGAGAGCCTCCTCCTGGGAGTTGCCAGTGGGGTGTGGCTGGGATAAGATGGAGGCATGGCGGCACATGGGGCTGAGTCCAAGAGGTGGGCCAGGGCAGACGCCGAGTCTCATGTGCTCACTAAGCACACAGACTTCATCCTAAGGATGGCAGGGAATCGCTAAAGGAGCTCCAGCTACAGAGGAATACAAGGAGATCTGTGCTTCCAAGAGATCACTGGTTTGAATGTGGGAAGATATTTAGAAAGAGACGAAGCTGCAAGCAGGAGGCCAGTGAAGACCCTGTGGCAGTGCTGTAGGGGACAGAGTGGTGGCAACAGGAAGGGGCAGGGGGTTACCATAGGTAACCACACTGATCACCCAAGACTTGGGACAGACAGGTGTCCCTGGCAGAGGGACAGAGGGAGGGACAGGCCCAAGTCTTGCTGAAAGGAGACAACTGAGGTGGGAAACTCTGGTGGCCTTCTGACCAGTCCACACCTGCAGAGGCCCGATGTGGCAGGCCCCACAGAGACGGAGGTTGACTTGGGGGCCCTGGCACCAGCACACCTCATCTCAGAGAAAGTCAAGCTCCTCAGCGGACAGTGTGTGGCCCTGGCCCTGGGAGAGCGGAGTGTGACCACGGGCCTGTCACCTCCCAGCAGGCTGGAGCACACCATCAGAAGGTGGGGTAGGAACCACCACCCTAGTCTGACAGACAGGAACTGTGCCTCACAGGCCATAACTGACCTGCTCCTAGCACACAGCCTGTCTGCCTGTGGCAAGGCCTGAAGGAACTCTGGTCTTCTGGCTCCTAGCTTGGAAAATGGTGCCAACCACATAATGACGGTAGGAGTCTGGCCATAACGTGTCCACAGCCAAATGCTACTCGCCATCTTCTGACTGGGGTAGTCCCCCCCCGTCCTTGGGCATTTCAAGTAGCTCTCGCCTTCTGGCAAAGATGCGTGTCTCCTCACATCCGAATCAACCGAGCAGTCCGTGTGACTGCGGCCGGTGCTTTCAGAAGCACTTCAAAATGAAAGGCAGCAAGTAAACGCAGCTGTCCATGGTTTTGTTCCCAGTCTGAGTATTTCCATATCTCAGAAACTCTCACGTCATTAATTTATAAGGGGGAAAAAAAACACAGCCAAGGTGTGCAAATGCTACAGAGCCACGCAAACAGTCGCGTGTGTGTGGAGGCCCACACGTGGCCAGCCGCTCTGTCCCACGGGATCCTCCTGCCCGGAAGACAGATTAGCAGGTGGCCAAGAGGGAGCTCTGCCATTCACCTGCCCTGGACGTGGGGCAAGTCACTCCACCCCACTAAGCTTCAGGTTCTTCCTAAAGACACGGGGATCACGGGAGCCCCTACCTCATAGGGTAGTTATCAGGTTAAATTAGGTAGTTGATATGAACTACTGGCTAGTGGGAGTGGTACATGGTAAGTTCTCAAATCTCAACTACTGCTACCATAACTCTGCCCAGTACTTAAAAGCTAGCATCCAGACAAAAACCAGTGCTTCCATGCTGTGGTCGGCCGGTGCCTTATGCACAGCACAGGCTCGCCGAGTGCCCCCCTGGAAAGCAGGGGTGGGGGCTTGCAGCCTCTGAGGGCCATCTCTGGGGGACGCACTCATGAGCCCACACCGGCAACAGCGTGAAGAATGGGCATGTGCAGTGGGGGCGGGGCGCAGGACTGCTTCGACAACAGGGGTTTGGACTGTAGGTCATACTGGATGGTTGGAAGCAGCAAAGACAGACACCCTGAAGATCAAGATGAGATTGACAGAGGGAGGTTCCTGAGCAGAGGCCCAGAAGCAGAGGCCTCTGCCCCTGGGGTGGGGGAAAGGGAGCATGCAATGGGGAAGGTTAGCTTTGTGGCTCACTGAGTGACTGAGTGACAGGGAACTGACGGATTTCCCACCTTGATGGCTTCTATTTTCAGCAGTCAGAGTGAGATCACAGGCCGAAGGGGAAAGTGGTGGGGCCAGAGAGAGATTTCAGTAATGTGAAGGAGGTTTGAAATAAGCACTGCCTAGAATATGAAAATGAGGCTGACCAGGGAAGTACAGAAGCCTTAATTTGTGCAAATGTCCATATTATTAAATGTGCCTTAAGAGTCAGTATGTGGAAGGGTTAAGAGCATGGACTCTGGAACTAAGAGCCTGAGTTATATCCCATTCCACTACCTAACACCTGCGTGACCTCAGGCCAGTTGCTTAGCCTTTTTGATAATCAGTTTCCTCATCTGCAAAATATGGCTAATAGCAGTCTTTTCCTCCTATAGTTTTGTTTTTTTTAAATTAGATTTAATACAAAGAGGTTAAAATAGTGTATGGCAGATAGCAAATGCCATGTAAGTTCCAGCAATAATAATAATTATTATTTTTAATATCTGCCAACCTTATGAAGAAGAAAAATACTTCTCACATTTGTATTATTTGGCAAGCTGAAACCCTACCTCTCAGCCTGTGTAAATCCTCCAGATCTTGCAAGGAAGGTCCAGCGTATAGTCCGTGCTCTTTGAAGCTTTCCCTGACCGCCTCTAGCCTTCCCCTTCTGTAGTCCGGGAACACTAGTCACCTAGACCTCTCATTTGTCATTTAGCCTACACACACCCCACCCTGAACTCTTGCACATGCTGTAGTCTGTAAACGCCTTGTTAATTACCTGGATCGAGAGGACAGATCTGAGCGTACAAGGCTTTGCCTGCCCCCGCAAGGTCTAGTGTAACATCATGAAGATGCTGGGCGTCTTGAGGTGTATTACACAGATTAATATAAACTGGCTGAAAACTCTGGATGTAGAGAACCCACCTGATGATCAAGTTGTCCTCGCCAAGGGTCACAACAGTGGCTTCTGTGGCTTGGAGAGACATGAGTTTGGCAAGGGCTTCTGAGGTTTTGCTCTAGGAAATAATCAGAATGGAAAACAAGAGCTATTGTAAGCTGACCCGTGCAAAGCCAGACCAACACTCACTAGGCTGGTGTTAAAAGCGGCTGCGGTTACAGAAAGCCCCTGCGGAAAGAGGCTGACCCCCTAACACAGCCACAGTGCATGTGAAAAAGCTCCTCCAGGAGAGATGTTGCTCACCGCCATCGACACGCAGCCAAGTCACCGCCGCTCTGAACGCACGCTGCCACAAAGTGCCGTGAATTACATTTCAGCAGAAAATACAAAACCAGTCTGTCCATTAGCTGTTTTTTTTTTTTAGGTTCAATCTAATTTCTCTTAGAGCTTGAGTCCTACTCTTTTATAGAATAGGTTAAAATGTGGGTATAATGCAGGGTGTTAAAAATGGCATGACCCTCAGATGGAAACGTGGATGTGTAGACTAATAAGCGATATAGTCAGTTATGTACAAAGAGGTGGTGTGAGCACTGCCCTGAAATTTCCATTATGCAATGTGTCTGAACAAAGGTTTCAATAATTAACCAGATTAGCTGGGATTTCGGAAGTAGCAACCCATTTGGAGATTAGTGATCAGAACACCTAATTATACGTAGGTGTCACATTTCTTTAAGTCTTTCTCTAGACTGTGTGTAATTAGTAATTCTAAATAAGGTGTTCAGATGAATCAAGATTTACATTACTGAAGAACAGTTCTTTTTTCACCTGCAGCTGCGGTTACCTTTGCCACGTGTTCCAGCCACCGCCCCAGGGCAATGAACACAAAGAGCATGGGGGGGGTGTCGAAGAAGGTCACGGGGCTCCTCTCCGCCTTCTCGGCCACAGCCACCACCAGGATGACGAGCGAGTAGGTGTAGGCGATGCCGGTGGCCAGCACAATGAGCACATCCATGTTGGCCGCCCTGTGCCTCAGAGATCTGTAGGCCTGGACGTAGAAGTACCACCCGCCAAGGAGCTGAAAGACAGCAGAGGAAGCAACAGCTGCTCAAGGAGGCCTGGTCCATATGGCTGCCTACTGCCCCTCGCGCCTGCAAGTGCTTGGACATGACTTTCTCCTCGGCAGGGGACGTGCAGGAAATGTATTTCCTGATTCACAGGCCTATGGATTTCTGGCACAGGAACGTAGGGTCAAGGTCTTGGGGGACCTTTAAAACCCAGAGTACATAACCTGAATGTCCATCAAAAGGGCAAGGGGGCCATGGGGACGTAAAGCATGGTTCATTTATACTGGGGACAGTGCTCTGCAGTCCTGAGAAAGAATGTGCTAGATCTATAAACCACTGGCATGAAAGATGCCCGTAATACATGGTTAAGTGAAAAAGCCAGTTATAAATCAATTTATCTAGTATGATCCTATTCCAGCTAAAAAATAAAAAGCCCGTGTGTCTGTATTATGTGAACACGTACACACACCTACATATATAAGCACATGTGTATTTTCTCTACATAGATGAAGATCTGTAAACATACATGTCCGACTAGTAATAATACTAAGGTAACCCTGGGGAACAGGATTGGGCTGGAGGCGGAGTATGATTCCAGTGAAAGAATATCTTCCCCTTTGCTGCTTCTCCTTCAGCATGGTTTGAATTGTCTACAATAAATATACTTTACATTTGTAATTAAAAAGAAAATACAGGAACAAGCAAATTCAGGCCACAGATATTGCCCTCAGATAGTCTTCAACTAAGCATTCTGTCGTTAAGGCAGGAGTTTTATTTTATATTCTAAAACAGACAGAGGGCACACTTCCCAGCAGCAGCAACTCAGCTAGCTCCTTAATATCACCCCTGGAGGAGAAGTTCCAGGAGGCCTGTCTCAGGGCTTGCCACTCCAGGGAGAGTTTGAGCAACTACAACCGTGAAAGTGACAGTGAAACCAGGTCCTTTTAAGCATCTCGCGCCCAGCCCCCCCCTCCCCCCCACCAGTCGTAAGACAGAGAAAAGAGCCCCTGCAGGACAGCTGTGATAGCCAGGCTGAAGGGCTGTGTCTGGCACGGGAGGGCGGAGAACCTGTTGGCCACACACAGGCAGGGAGGGCAGAGGTTGGCCCTTTCTGATACGCACCTGGACAAAGGTACACAAGATAAAGAAGATGAGATTTAGAATGGACAGTCCTGGAATGATGTTGTGGTCCAGCACCATAGACTCGTGGGGCTCGCTGCTGGGCACCAACATATAGAGCATCAGACCCATGACGGGGATGCCGAACACCAGGCTGCACAGAAAAGACTTCTTCCACCTGCAGAGCAAAGCAGTGACAGTGGCCTGTTAGGTATCACCCGTCACTGGGATTGTGGGCTGGTCTTCTCCTGGGGACTCAGTTTCAGACCGTCTGGGACAGACAACCAGTGGTGTGAAACGAAGGGAAGGCTCCCTCCCTGACACCAGCCACCTGAGAGCACCGACAGGTTTAAACCTGGCAAGGACGTGCCAGAGATATAGACACCCCTGCCCGTCCGAGGCTGACCTGTTGCCTCTAATCCATAGGGGGCGCAACTGAGGCCCAGAACTGAGAACCCAAAGAAGTGGAACGTCCCGGTCCATATGGCTGCCTACTGCTCTTTTTTCAAAATAAAATCTTATACAGACTCCCAAGTAAAAACAGATAAAAGCAAAACTTTATTAGTCTGACCTTACTTTTACATTTGATTTTTAAACTATTACTTAATATAGGCAGTGAGAACTGTAAAGCCATCTTGGTGAACACCAAAGTTTGACGTGGGGGTTGCAGGTGACAGCTGTGGTCTCACGTCAGCATCCATGAAATTCCCACAATGTGTTGCGGAAGCTCTAGCATGCCTCCACTCCGGTCTGCAAACCGCGGGCCGCAGGACTGAAGTCTCAGACTCTCAGCCTGTCGCCCAGGGCCCCGAGAATAGCCCCTCGCTCGCGTTCCAGGTGCCTCTCCTGTCAGGCCTTCCCTGCTCCAGGCATGCTGAACAGAGCTCACAGGAATCCCTGAAGGCCCCCTGCCTCCATGCCCCTAGAAGACCCTCATGTCAACCCCCGACCCCCACCCCCACAGCCTGGCAAACCTCCTCTCATTCTTCGAGGCTCAGATCATGTGTTCCCTGCTGGTTGGCTTCCCAGACCCCCCTGAACCCACTTGATCCACTGCTCAACCACTCATTCCTAGCCCAGCTATGGGCCTCTCCAAGGCAGGGATGGTATCCTATTCATCCCTAGCACCTGGCATCGTGCCCTGCATTCAAAAGCGCCCTTGTGTTTGTTGAATGAGTAAGTGAACATCTGCAACAATGAATGAACTCAGGCTGCCTTTTTCCCAGGCCATTTTCTTTCCAATGACCATGGTTCCTGCCCTCAGACCCTACTTCTGGAACCCATGCAAATAAAGTCTTAAAATACTCTGTTGTGAAAGAAAAAAACCCACTCTCTTCCTCTCAACTTAAGTCAGCCACCAGCTGTAAGTGGCGATTTAAATTAAAATCAGTTAAGATGAAATGAAATGGAGAATTCAGTTCCTCGCTCGTACTAACTGCTCCGCAGCCGGTGGCTAGCGTCCTGGGCAGTGCGGGTACAGAACATTTCTGTCACTGCAGAACGTTCTGTCGGACAGCACTGCTTTAGGAGGGTAACATCACAGGGGCAGCAGAGGCGACTCTTCCAAGTGGAAGGTGCTGTGGGAAGCCAGGACAGCAGGGACACCCATGAGCACAGAATGAGGCAGTCAGGCCCGGCGACGGGGGGACACTTAGTCAAGAGCGCCAGGGTACCTCTTCTGTTCTACCTACTGCTTTATTTCCACCTTGTGGTCCAAGTGATGCGCGTTGGGGTTTCTCTGGGCCGGGGAAGCATGAAAGCCGATTTCCTTATTATTAAAAAAAAAGAGAAGTGAGAAACGGGGAGGAATGAACTTGGTTAAAACATGCATTGGTAGAAAGCATTTTACATCTTTGGAAATTAGAAAGTTAATCAAAAATCGCCTCAAAAGACTGTATTGGTTTTTCCGCTCATGACTTCCGTACCCAAATCACACTACAAATCCTGTCAGAGGTCCAGCACCATCTATGCTTACAGAGTGTCATCCTCAGGGGCTGGCCTCAGATGGCGGCTCCTGGTCCCTCCGCGGGCAAAGGCAGCAGGTTCTGGGAGAAACTTCAACATGCCCCGAGGCTGATCAATGACGAATTTATACACCCAGAATTTTTGTGTGAGGAACCCCAACTAGGGAGTGGTCAGGTCAGGCGCTGTCATTCCCGGCCTGAGGAAACTGCAGCTCAGAGCCATTGTGCTACCAGAAGAGCAAGGCCCCGTGCTCAGTGAACAGGTCTCTGGGCTCCCAGCCTGGGCCTCTCCCCGGCGAGCAGACCCTGGCTCCTTCGGCACCTGCAAGCCGAGGCTTCCCCTGAAGCCAGACGGACAGGCACCGCACCACAATCTGCTGGCTCTTTTCAGGGAATAAACTCCAGCAATTCTTTCGCCACCTCGCTCCCTGACCCTCTCCACCTCATCTGATCGGACCCCTTTACGAAATTACATGGGAAAGGCCACCAGGAAATGTCCTGTCGGTCAGGACGATATAAGGAGGGGCCCCAGGACTCTCTGATAATGGGATTTCACACGAAAATGAAAAGTTACGGCTGGAGAAAGAGCATCTAAGACTGTCTAAAGACAAACCCTCTTACAACGAACACCCGCCTAATTACATTAGGGAAGGAGGCAGCAGAGATGCAGAAACGGGGGCCAGACATCAGCAATATTCCTCAAATGAGGACAGAGATGCTCCTGCACTGAGCTCAGCCAGTGGCGTGGAGGCCAGGAGGGGCACGAGGAGTAAGAAGGTGACGGAGATGTGGTCCGAGCACCCCCTGGGACCCTCCCTCCGACGGCACATCAGTCTGCCTCCCCGGCCTCACCAATGGCCCCTCACTACTGTTCCGTAAGGCCTGTGCTGTGGCAAAAATCGAAAGGCCGCTGAGCTTGGAACTGTGAGGTGTGGGTCTGAGGGCCGGTCCTGCAAGGTTTGGCTGGATACCAGTGAGCGGAGTCACTTAACCTCCCTGGGGATCTCTCCCCACCTGACAGAGAAGCTGTGCTGTCTGCCTCTGAGACGGGGGGGTTATAGCAGCAGCAGCAGGAGAAGCGGTAACACACAACAGGGAGCTCCGCCAAGCCGCACAACACACAACCTGTCTCCTCAGCACACACACAACGAAGAGAAAATGAAAGACAACACCGAGGCTGCTACTAGAGGTTTCCCTGCATTAGCACTTCCCGCTAAACTTGGTTTATCCTGACCATCAGTTCATCTTGTGAGTTAACCTAGTTCAGTCTGGACTGTTGCAACCCATTCAGATCACCACTAATGCTCACCCTCTTATGGTGTGCTATCAACAGACCTTACAAAGGAAATGGATTGTCTGTGGACAAAGCGAGGGAGGGAACAGAGGGAGGCAGTGTGTGAAGACTATTCTAATTGATTTTCCAAACGAGAAACAACTAAACTCTCTCATTGTCAAGCAGGCCCAGCATAGTGGTAAAATGCAGTGTAACTCCTCTCATTACCAACAATCCTTTGGTCTACAGATACTTGGTACAGATATAAGTAACGCTTTATAATTACAATTAGGTAATTTAACCCCATGTGCCCAGGTATCTTACTGATACTGATGTTTCCCAGGAAATTCAGGAATTCACTGATTCTCACCCTCAGATTATCTGATATTTACTTAATTTCAGTTTATTTTAAAACGATTCACCTTCACTTCCATGGGAAAGCTTGAAGGATAGGTTAGGTGACCTTTTTCTTTTCTTTTTAATTTTTTGGCTAGCTATATTTTCTCATTTTTCCACAATGATTATAGATCACTGTTTTTTAAAAAGGGGGCATATTTTTTAAATTGAAGTAGAGTTGAGACACGTTACATTAGTTTGTATAATGTTTTTTAACGAATGACTTACCTCGATAATTCGGACAATATCCCGTGCACCGATAATTTCAGGATCGAACTTCACGTGGGCTTTGCTGGTGGCAAGGGCCACAGACGCGTAGGTGATGCCGTTTGTCCTTGTGAGTTTGGACTCTATGTTGTGAACACAGGATGCGCAGGTCATCCCCGTGATCTGCCGCACAGGATGACAAAAATACTACTCACTTGGGATTGAGAGGATCCCATCGAAGGCACACAGGGAGCGGGGTCAACAGGCAGCCACGAGCCCTTCCTCCTTCCACGGCATCGTTCCCAAGGCTCTGGACTCCCACCTCCAGACCCCATGTGCAAGATTTTCCTCCGGGATGCTCCCCCAGGGGCTGAGGGCAGGTAAACAGTGGTTCTTCCCCAACTCAGGGACGAGAGACATAGCCAGTCACAAAGCAGATGGCGACAAACCAACACTGACTTCCAGCTCTGACAGTGAGGAGCTTTCGTAAGCCACCCTACCCTCTCTGTTTTGTCACTTCTGCCACGCTGTGCATATGGATGTGAGAAAGGGAGTCTGAAATGAGACATGCCATCCCTGTAATATGTGTTAGGCAAGCCAGACAAGTCACTCTTTTGAGCATCAGTGGTCAACATTTCCCAGAACGCTCATTAAATACAGACATAAAACGTCTACAGACAGTGTCTGAACGTGTGATGATGATGATACAACTATTGAGACTGCTTCGAACATTGTTCAATGAACGTTTTCACCGAACTGAGAGCTTTCCCCTAAGGTCAGGAACACGGCAGGGATGCCCACTCTCACCACTGTTGTGCAACATGGTACTAGAAGTCCTAGCCTCAGCAATCAGACAACAAAAAGAAATCAAAGGCATCTGAATCAGCAAAGAAATCAAACTCTCACTCCTTGCAGATGACATGATACTTTATGTGGAAAACCCAAAAGACTCCACCCCAAAACTGCTAGCACTCATATAGGAATTCAGTAAAGTGGCAGGATATAAAATCAACACACAGAAATCAGTTGCATTTCTATACACTAACAATGATAGAGAAGAAAGAGAAATTAAGGAATCAATCCCATTTACAATTACACCAAAACCTGTAAGAAACCTAGGAATAAACCTAACCAAAGAGGCAAAGGATCTGTACTCAGAAAACTATAGAACACTTATGAAAGAAATTGAGGAAGACACAAAAAAATGGAGAAACATTCCATGCTCATGGATTGGAAGAACAAATATTGTTAAAACGTCTATGCTATCCAGAGCAATCTA